AAATACAAAAAATTAGCTGGGCATGGTGGCACGTGCCTGTAGTCCCAGCTACTCAGGAGGCTGAGGCAGGAGAATTGCCTGAACCCAGGAGGCGGAGGTTGCAGTGAGCCGAGATGGCGCCATTGCACTCCAGCCTGGGTAACAAGAGCGAAACTCCGTCTCAAAAAAAAGAAAAAGGAAAAGGATGCATTCTTAAATGTGACATCACTGCAGTGAATTCACTGGGATGCTGTTTTCTTTCTAAATTGAGAAGAAACAAAGTACTGTTTGCAGGGAAAAAGAATCCTAGTTTCCCAACCATCCTGAACCTGAGCTGCTTTGTTCCCTAAAAGCGGGGATTGATAATATTGAAAATTAAACTTAAACCAACTCTGACCTTTTTGAAGAACCTAAATATTTATGGTCTCTTCTTCCACTGACATAGGAAATTAAAAGTGCTGAACCTATAAAAATCCAAATAGAGTACATTAGTCTATTTTGTGTAATTATAAAGAAATACCTGCCGGGCACAGTGGCTCAAGCCTGTAATCCCAGCAATTTGGGAGGCCAAGGTGGGAGGATAACTTGTGACTCCCCAAGGTGTGGATTACTTGTGATGGTTATCCACAACATAGTGATACCCTGTTTCTACAAAAAATTCAAAAAATCAGCCAGGCCTGGTGGCATGCACCTGTAGTTCCAGTTACTCAGGAGGCTGAGGTGGGAGGAGCAGTTGAGCTTGGGAGGTTGAGGTTGCACTGAATCATGATCTCACCACTGCACTGCAGCCTGGGTAACAGAGTGAGACCATGGAGAGAGAGAGGAGAGACAGAGAGAGAGGAGGGGAGGGGAGGGGAGAAAAGAAAAAAGATAGGAACACTTATACTGTTGGTGGGAATGCAAATTAGTTCAACTATTGAGGAAGACAGTGTCGCAATTCCTCAAAGACCTAGAACCAGAAATACTATTTAACATAGCAATCCCATTACTGGGTATATACCCAAAGGAATATCAATCATTCTATTATGAAGAAACATTTATGTGTATGTGCACTGCAACACTATTCACAATAGCAAAGACATGGACTCAATCTACATACCCATCAGTGACAGTCTGGATAAAGAAAATGTGGTATATATCCACCATGGAATACTATGCAGCCATAAAAAGAATGAGATCATGTCCTTGGCAGGGACATGGATGGAGCTGGACACCATTATCCTCAGCAAACTAATGCAGGAACAGAAAACTGCATATTCTTACTCATAAATGGGAGCTGAACAATGAGAACACATGGACACATGGAAGGGAACAACACACTCTGGGGCCTATGGCGGGAGGGAGAGCATCAGGAAAAACAGCTAATGCAGCTGGTAAGTTATACTTAGGTGATGGGTTGATAGGTACAGAAAACCACCATGGCACACATTTACCTAGGTAACAAAGCTGGACATCCTGCACTCATACCCTGGAACTTCCAAAAAAAAAAAGAATAACTATCCCTTGATACTTGACCTTAATTTAAAATGCCACATATTTTTAGTTAAAAAAATCTTAAAAAAAATGAAATAGGAAGGACTCAGGGATGGTGAAAGTCAGGCTTACATGGGTCCTACTACAGATGGGCAGCTATCTGGTCCATGGGACAATTTACGGTTAATGGACCTGGCCTGTAGCCCTTATGGGATGGAGACAAGAACAAAATGTTAAAAACATAGGAAAATTATGAAAGGTCCTCATTTATAAGCAGTATTTATATACATAGAGATGAGACATGTCCCACTTTAAATAAAGGAAAGGGTGGTGGGAAGGTTTCTCAAGTTGCTATAAAGTAAGAGTCTATAAAGAACCCTTCAATTAGGAGAGTACGTAAGGTTTGTGGCAAGACGGAGACCTATTTAGGGGTCCATTGTTGAACTGAATTTTGAAAAGGGGTTCTTTTAGGAGACCACGCTGACTCTTCATTAAATCATCTATCTTGGGCCTATCAGGGAAATTAGTTTTATTCAATGCCTCTTTCAAGAGTCCAGCATTGTGTCTCCTGACAAGTGAAACGGTTACTGTAGTGCCCTGGCTACCATCAACTCCAGACACAATAATGAATGATAAGGACACATCTGGTTACACATTTGCTTGCGGGCAATGCTTCTGCTGTTACTGCTACTGGTGGACTTACAGCATGCCTCTTCTACAACCATGGTATTACAACGCAGGACTGCTGCCGATCAAAGGACAACTCTTCACAGCAAAGGAAGCACCTCGGTGGGTCCACGCTCAGGGAATTAACTCGTCTTAACATGTTCCCCACCAACCTGAAGCAGTTGGTTTGACAGACTAATGGAGTGGCCTTTTGAAGACTCAAAAGTATCAGCTAGGTGGCAATAGCTTGTAGGGATGGAACAAGGTTCTCTAGAAGGCTGTATATGCTCCGAATCAGTATCTAATATTTAGTACTGTTTCTCCAGTAGCCATAATTCACAAGTTCAAAAATCAAGGGGTCAAAACGAGAGAGTAGCAGCCCCATTATTATCCCTAGCAACCCACTAGCAAAGGTTTGCATCCTGTTCTCATGATTGTGCTCTTAGGTCTTACTTCTGAAGGGGGAAATTCTTCCACTCAGAGACACCCTGGTGATTCCACCAAACTGCAAGGTTGCCACTGGCCACTTCGGGCTACTCAGGCCTCTGAATCAACCAGCAAAGAAGGATTTATGGGTGGGGTGATTGATCCTGACTACCGAGTGGAACTTGGATTACTCTTTTATAAGGAAGAATATGTCTGGAATACAGGAGGCTTCTGCAAAATTTTATTGAAATTATAACGGGCGTATATGTCCTCAGGCAGGAATGGCGTCTTTACAGAACTGAGTTTCTGATTAATGAACATGACTTCTCTCTCCATTTACTCAGATCTTTTAAATTTTCTCTGAAGTTTTTCTGGGGAAATAATATACATCTGTCATTCTATTAATTCCTTGGTACATAATATTTTATAATACTGTATTTATTTTAAAGTTGATTTTTGCTTTGTGTAGCTGGCTATTCTAGCAGGTATGCAGTGGGCTGAGCTATTTGGCTGTAATGAGATGCACCTGCATGGCAGTGACTCCTAACTGAGGTGTCAAATATACAGATTAATAAGTGAATCCAAGCTGAGTTTGGTTGTGGTTGGGACCATCTCATCACCATTGCTATTGGTAGCAGTAAAACTGACGATTAAACAGGTTCCCAGCTGGTGTTGGTGAAAACATAGGTGATCTTCTGTTCGGAGCTGGTTAACAGTGAGAATATGTCTACCTGATCAGCAGGGTATATCAGCAGCCCAGCTTACACTATCCTCATACACTACAGCTCCAAATAGTGTAGAGAACCAGAACAGCTCCCCCGTCCTGAGGTATTCTATGCACACAGCTGGTTTCTCATCTGGGGAAGTACATTCTGACACAACCTTGCAAGAGAAAAAACACAGCTCACGCCAGCCTCTCCCGATGCTTCACTGTGAGGAAGCCTGTGGCTGAGATGGTTATCCTCATCTGATGCATATCATTACTTTGTTACTGGTTTATTGTATCCTTTTCTATCAACCAACAGTAGATTATTAAGTGATGTATTTGGTGGGTCCTTTGCCCTAGCACTGGGACATAAAGGTGATTTTTAAATATTGACCTATATTGTTCAACACCCACCTATGAGTGATGGACACAGGGAGGGGAGCATGACCCACTGGGGTCTATTGGAGGGAAATGGGGGAGGGACAACGGTGGGTGGGGAGTTGGGGAGAGATAGCATGGGGAGAAATGCCAGATATAGGTGATGGGGAGGAAGGCAGTACATCACACTCCCATGTATGTACCTATGCAACGATCTTGCATGTTCTTCACATGTACCCCAAAACCTAAAATGCAATAAAAAATTGACCTATATTTAGCAAACTTTTACACTCATTTATATGTTCTGAAATTTACCTGTAGATTTTAGATTCATAAAGCATATAGCCATAAATCCACGTCTTAACTATTTCACTGTATTATACTGAACTTTGGGTGAACAATAGCATTTGAATACTGCAGACATCCTTGAATTATTCCCAAGATGAAATTCTTTAAACATCTCACAAATAAATCTAAGGGAAGTTGCCTATTTATTTTCTTATGAGTCTTTTTTTTTTTTCACATGAATAGGTGTTGAACTGTGTCAAAGGCCTTTTATTCATTAACTGAACAATCGTTAGTTGATTTTTAATAAAAAGTTGTAGTGAACCAACAGAAGCTAAAAAGTTCCTTCTAATCATGGGCTTAGTGAATTGCAGTTTAAAATGTGGTGTCTTCATTGCCTTTCAGTTCAATGCACTTTCTAACTCCCACTTGATTTAAAAGTCATGTTCGATAGTGTATTGCCAGTTTGTTTAAAACAGGTATGATTAGAGAACTCGTCTCTCCTGGACTGACTGAAGAATTTCCGTACTTTGCCATGTTCCATTTTTCCATGGAAATGGTGCTCTCCAGTGAGCCTCTCAACTCTGCCATGTTACTGGTCTACCTGGTCTGGGAGCCTATCAAGAAAAGAGATCTCTCTGTCATTAATTCAATGTATTCTGATTCAGGAGATGCAGACTTTGACTCCCATCATTGGCCTTAATTGGATCAATGCATTTCACTGAATTTGAAACATGCATCAGAGGCACATGATTTACATCCTAGTTGATTGACTCCCTGCTGAGGACTTCTATCATGCTCCTGTCTTAAAGTGCCTTTGTTATACATTTTGTGTCCCTGAGAGCACAAACTACACAACTAACTGGTGGGGACTACCATAGGGAACTGACTGATTCTGAATCCCAGCTCACTGCTTCTCATTTTTCTTTTTTTGATTTCTGGGAGTCTGTAGTCCAGACCTGTAATGAAGGAATTGAAGAAATAACCACAAGATGTGTGTATGTGTGTATGGAAGTGGGTTCCAGATGTGAGAGCATCTCAGGTGTGCACCCCTCTGCCTGGGGACCCAGAGATGAGCAATCCGGAGACCAGGAGGTTAAGGAAGCATTTATTGAAAACCTGTGGTATATCTCTGGCCCAGACCAAGCGGCAGAGTCAAGCAAAGGCTTCGGTCAGTCACGGGAGCCTGGAGGTCTCAGCCTGACTCCTACTCAACAGTAGACTCGGCCGAGATGGGCTGTTTCAAATAGCTCCTTTCTTAGCGCCTTGGGCCAGGGTCAGGGGTGGAGTGTGTCCTCTTGGCCTATGAGGACATCAAGCCCTGCTTGGTGTGCAGCTCCAGGTCTTTCTTCTCACGGGCTTTTAGGGGCTTGGGACTGGCCTGCAGGAGGTTAGTGCTCAGGATGGGAATCTACACTCACCCCCATGGCCACGCGGTCGCCTCCTACCCCATCACCACCTTGGGTGGACAGCCTATGGGAAAGCCTCTCCCCACAGACCATCCTCTGAGGAGTCCCATGACACCCTTCCTTGTCCTCCTGCCCTTCCCCATCCCTTCAGTAGCTGTCTCTGTTCCCTGCCACCCAGGTCTGGGGCTTACCACATCTCCTGGGCCAGCCTCTTCCTCTTGTGTGCTCTGGGCTTGGGCAGGGACCTGTGTTCCATGCTTTTCTAGCTCCTCCTTCAGCCTGGACAGGAAGAGGTAGGATGGGGGAAGGAAGAAAAGGAAAGGGGGACAAGAGATTTTCAAGAGTCAGAGAAATAGAAGGTTGAGGGAGGAGAAACGACATTGGTCACTTTCCTGGTGGGGGTTGAGGGGACAGGGCCTCCACACACACCTCTGCCGCTTCTGCTGCAGTTGCTGGCACTTTTGCTGCAGCTGCTGGTGGTGCTGGGCTGCAGCTGCTAGGAGCTCCTCAGCCTTCATGTGCTCTTCCTGAAACAGCTGCCTGGGGTGCCCAGGAGGGGGTGGTTAGCACTGGCCACTCCCTCCTCCCCCCCTTCACCTCCACATCTTACACTGTGGCTGCTGCCTCCTGGCTACGGAGAAAGAGCCCCTCATCAAGGGTGGAGGCGCCCTCAGCACCACACAGGGAGCACAGCTGTTGCTTCACATCTTCCAGCTTTGCCTCGACCAGCTTCTCTGCAGCACAAAGGGACAGGTGAGCACATGAGGGTATGTGAGGTCAGAAGGGCCATCCACCTTCCCTGGCCTCACCTTCCTTGAGCAGCTGCTCCTTGCTGCTGTCCAGGGTGCAGATCTCTCTTGCTAGCTGCTCCGGCTTCTGGGGCGGGCAGAAAAGAGGTCTGTCCACACCTCTTGGCTTTCTCCCATGCCTCGAAGAAGGCTTTCTGGATCTTGTTTTGTACTTGCTCACCATGCCTCACTTCCAACAACTCTGCCTCTCTGTGCATACTAGCCACAGAAAACCTCAGGCCCATGGCACTGGTCATTCCCTCCCTGTGCACTCTGTCATCCTACATCCCTGGAGAGCTGCAGTGGGGAGGCTCATGGATTGTTATTTACAACAGATAAACCTGCAAACACTATGAGTCTTTGCTGTTTTCTGTAGGATCAGGTACCAGTTCGGCTCTGCAGCTCCTCCCCACGCCCCTCCATCCTGCTGGGGCCTCGTCACTGAGCCCTTCCCTTCTAACACTCACTGTCTATTTTCTTGTTCAGTGCCTGGGATCCTCCTGGGGGGCAAACACTGGCTGCTTATCCTCACTGTCTCCCTTGTGACCGTGATGGTCCCAGACATATCCATGGACATTGATGGAAGACTTGACCTTAGTTTGATCAGAGATCCCCCTGACCACTGAGTGGACCCTGGAGGGTAGCAGGGCCATGAGGGTGGTGACAAGGGACTGGATCCGGGCAATGTTGGTCTTAGCACCACCAGGGCTTGTTCAGGGACTGGATGTGGCAGGTGAGAGGAAGCAGTGACCCTTTGGGCCTGGTACTGCTAGGGAAGATGTGGAAGTGGGAGAAGTGGCTTTGAGGGACTCACGTGGAAGTCCCAGAGGTCCTTGTGTTGGCCCATCAGATCTTCCAGCTGTTCCTCGAAAGCCAACCTGGGGGCCAACCACAGGCATGAAGGGATATGGGCTGAGATCATCACCTTTGCAGCCTGTCCACGTCTGTGGGTCTTCTGGCACAGACCTTGGGGTGCTTTGCCCATGGCCTTGCTCCACTGGGAGCATCTTCACCATCCTAACCCTCCAAGGCTCAGTGTAGCCAGCTCTTCTAACCCCCATCTTTTATATTATACCCTGACTACCAGCCATCCAAATCCCCTGCCTCAGGTGCTAAGGTTTACCTCAGCTGTCTCTGTTTTTTCTTCTCTTCTTCGATCTGTACATTCAGAGCAGAAATTCTCTCTTTGCACTCCTGCAACATGGTATGCTTCCTGGGAGAGGCAAGGCAGTCCTCAGCCATGTTCTCTTAAGCCCCAGGAGGGTTCTTGGCTGGGGCTTCTGCCTCCCTCTATTGAGGCTATTTTTTCCCTCCTACATTAAGGTCCTTCTCTGTAACATGTGATGGGTAGGGAGTAATGTGAGCATTTGCCCCCTGTAAGTACTGTTGTCAGGTTAAGAGAGATCAGTGCAGACATGGTCAAGTGAGCAAATGCACACACATATCATCTGGTTTCCCCAAAGAGCTGAAAACTCAGTGTGCCAGGGCCTGGGGCCTCTGGTAAGAAAATAAGCTAAATAAGCATTCAGGAAGTGGAGAAATGGATGGACAAATAATTGGGTGGATAAAAAGATAATGGATGGAGAGACAATGGACAAGTGGTTGGTTCAATGCCTAAATGAACAGATGAGTGAATAGACAGCCAAGGAGTATGACAAAGAGTAAAAGGAAAAGAACAAAAACCAGCTGAAGAAATTTAATTAATAATTTGGCAATTGAGTGTCTATACCATTGAGAGAGTTACCCTTAACACCACTGCCTGCTGTTGGAGCCGAGGGGGAAAGACTTTTTGGACACTCCATTGTTTAGAGGGACAGAATGAGAGCTGTGGGCCTTACACTCATCTTCCTGCCTCTTTCTGCTCTACCAGAATAAAGAGGTGGGGCAGAGTTAGGCTCAGCTGGAAGCTCTTACCTCTGTGCCTCACTTTCCTTCTCCTGGCAGTACAGCCGGAGGTTCCTCAGGGTCTCTACAGGGAGAGCAACAGGGCCCTATGAGAAGCTGTCAGGGTACTGGGTTGTGGTAGGGGGAATGGGGCCAGATCACATCAGGTCTATGGACACCTGATTGAGCTTTAAAATTTACTGCAAGTCTGGTGGAAGCTACAGGAGAGAGGCAAGCTTTAAAAGGCTTCAGCTGCCATAGGGAGAGTGGGCTTCTGTGGGGTGGCAAAGGCATAAGCCTGGAGAGAGGGGAGCTGCAGATACCTTGCTTTTTGCTCAAGATCTCCTTCAGGCGTACTTTCTCTCCATGCACTGGAAAACAGTGATGTATTTTGGGCATCAGGGACTATGCACTGTATCCTCAGGGATGGAGCTTGCTCACAGTCACATGGGAAGTTGGGCACAGCCTTGCCCCCAACCCAAATGTGAACCCCTCAAGGTGAGCCCCTCCCTATCCTCTGGTGCCCACATTCCCTGTAAGTACCAAAGGGCCTTCACATTTACAGAGGGTTGCTGTGAGGGCCCTGCAGGATGCCCATGCTTTTACGTGGGGAGGAGAAAAAATACAAACACCCATGAAGTGAGATTAAGGGCTATGAAGAAACACATCGAATAGGGAGGGGCACATGACCAGATGGAGGCAGGGCGCCATCTCTAGATGGGATGTCTGGGGAATGCCAGTCATCTTCTCTGGGGACATTCTAACTCAGAGCTGATGACATGAGGAAAGAGGAACCTGTATTATCCATGGAAGTACAGGCAGCACCTGGCAAAAGCCCTGAGGTGGGAGTAAGGTTGGAGGGTGCTTCCTGAACACTATCACAAGCAGAGGAGAGGGGGAGATTGGCAGGACATGAGGCAGGAGAGGGCACAGGACCCTTGGCCACAGCAAGGATGCTGATCATCTGGAATACAGGGTTAGGGGAGGCTTCAGACACTGTGGGGACCTCTGGGTGACCCGACTCCCTTACGCGAGTCCAGTTCCTTCTGCAGGGCTTCAGAGATGGTCCGGGCCTCTCCTACGTCTTCATTGACCTTCTTTTTTGCTTCATCAAAGATCGGAAAGACATTGAATGAGTGCAGCCTCCAGCTGCACAATTCTCTTGCCAACAGTGACATTTCTCATTTGCCTTCAGGTAACCCTACAGTCGCCTAGATTTTATAGAGTAGGAAACGAGGCTTCCAGAGTGCAGGCTTTTCTTGCCAGGCTCTGCTGATAGCAGGGCCAGGATCATGGGCATATGACTATGGCAGCTGCATGCAGAAATGTCCTGTACTTAATTTAAGGCTCTGCTGTTGCTGTTGTGAACAGCCAGTAACTTTGGACAAGGGACCCTGCACTCCTCATTTGGCACTGAGCCCCACAAACCATGTAGCTGGTCCTAGCTGGCAGCCAAGGCCCCTGAACTCACCTTGCTGGATCTCATTAATCCGGTTAATCAGGACCTCAACTTGGGGCTCTAGGCTTCCCACTGCAGGGAGAAAGGGGGTTTAGTTGACAGAGCAGGCAGAGGTGGGTGGCTGCCAGCCTTGTGTCTCTGCTGCTTTCATGCAACACAGATCTACTGAGTACCTACTGCAAGCAGGTGCTGTGTGGGGCCCTCACAGGGCTCATGTTGTGGGTGGGTGAGACTGGGAATAGACACAATGAGATACCGAGTGGGGCTGTGGTAACTCTGTTTAAGAGAAAAAAAGTAGGGCAAGGGGGGTTAACGAGCAAAGAGGTGGGAAGTGCTCCTCATATATGAGAAGGTGTCATGACAGCCCCAGATCAAGTATCAGGGGGCAGGCCCTGAAGCTCTTTGGGTGGGGGTGGGAGGCAGTCAGTGCAAAGACCCACCCTGAGGTGGGAACATGGCTGGCAGGAGCCTAGTGAACAAAAAGGGAGTAGCAAGAAGTTTGGGACAAGGTTTTTGGAAAATATTTTGCCTTCTATACCCCTTTCCTTCTTTAGTTTTGAATCATGGAGCCCTATTTTTAGTTTAAGTAATTAAATTGTAAAAGAAAGAAAAGGTGAAGAGGATTATTTCCTGAGTTTGTACGTTGTGGTGTCTGAAATTGAACCCACATCAGCCTGGCCCCAAACATCAGGCTGAGCCTCACACAGAGGAGACACATGACCTTTCTGCAGCTTTTTCACCATTTCCATCAAGTCTTCAATTTTCTGTGAGGATGTGTCCTGCCCTGTGGAGACAAAACCAAACAGTTCAGAATCCAGCAGGGCAAGAGGCCAGAGGAAGGATCTGACAGCCCTGGACTGGGACTGAGGTGGGCCAAGGGCAGGTCTCCAGCCAGAGTGGTGCCCCTGCTCCTTGTCCTGAGGTGGACAGTACACTAGATGAACTGGGCTCCTCCACAGTCAGCTCTTCCTTGTTAGGGTAAAAGTATTCCAGATACCCTCCTTGTAAAACTCTGGGTGAGGCAGGGGTGTACTCTCACTGCTGAGGCTTTTCAAAGTGAGGTCAAAGTTCCTGATGTAATACATCAAGTAAAAAAAATGAGGCATAAAAAACTGGAGCAAGGAGTCAAAAATCACTGTAACTGGCAGATGGCATAATCTAGGAAGTTCTTAGAGTTTTCTACAAAACCGTAAGGATTCGTAAGAAAATGCATTAAGATGTTAGGTTAAAGCATATATAAATACAAATAGCTTTCCTATATACAACCAATACCAAATCAGAAATCTCCCCATAAAGTAACATTTCATATTAGTTTTTTATAATCATTATTGGAACCTATTTTTAACACTCGAAGAAATTACTATTTATGGCAACATTATGAAAGGAAAATAAATCTTTTTATAAAATAAATCAATTCAAAGTCATCCCTCTGCTCACCGAGATAAATGGATATCTGATTGTCTCCTTTGGAAGGCTAATCAGAAACTCAAAAGAATGCAGCCATTTGTCTTTTATCTACTTATGACCTTGAAGACCCCCCTCCACTGCTTCGAGTTGTCCCACCTTTCCAGATCAAACCAATGTTCATCTTACATATGTTGATTCATGTCTCATGTCTCCCTAAAGACAGCAAAACCAACCTGTGCTCGGACCACCCCGGGCACATGTCATCGGGACCTCTGAGGCTGCATCACAGGCATGCATCCCTCACTTAGGCAAAATAAACTTCCTCAATTGACTGAGACCTGTCTCAGATTTTTGGTTTTCATGTTTTGGCAACCACAAAGGGATGCCGAGTAGCGGTGCCCCTGACCTTTGACAAATATCCTATCAGTGCTTGGTAGCAGTTTGAGCTATCTTTATGTCTCAAACTAATATGACAATCTGCTGAGGTCTGGAAGTCCCCTGTCCAGGGAATCCCTTGTCTTCCAAAATTTGTTTGAGATCCAAAGTACATTTTGCTGTATAACTCTTTTCTTTTCTCCTCCCTCCCTCCCTCCCTCCATCCTTCCTTCCTTCCTTCTTCCTTTCTTCTTTTTCTTTCTCTCTGCTTTTTCTTTCCTTTCTCTCTTTCCTTCTTCTTTCTTGGAGCTGGAACTCACTCACAACAGGGAAGACATGTTTGAGGGTTTTTTCCCTGCTTCTAAGATGATAGACAGCAGTCTTCAGTCTAAGACCCATCCTTAGGTAAGTAAATGAATTGGGGTTTGTCTTGGCTAAAGATAAAATTAACAACCAGCCCGTCTTAATCTTTCCTCTCCATTAGAGTGCTCGGTAATCACATAAGTTGTGAGACCATATGTTTGTTTTGCTTAACTGGGTTTTTTTGGGTGTTTGTTTCTGTTTTTGCTGTTGTTTGGGTCCTTTTCCCATTGGGGTTGAACAATTCTATCTCACTTGATCAAATCCAAAGGAAAGTTCCAATTTATGTGGAACAAGGCCTCCGAAGTGGGTAAATTCCCATCAAAAAAGGGGGTGGTGTGGGGGAAAAATGGCCAGTAAAAGGAAAAAAGTGAGGGGAAGATTTCTGACCTTGACTACTTAAGGGGCTTTATTTACATAACAAGGCCACCTTTTTGCTGGCCAGGCCAAACTGAAAGAGCAACGACTTTTACCCCAGACTGCAGTTCCATAGGTTCTGTCTTCTTTTGTCCATGACAGCCTGGGTTTGGTTTCTAAATCAATACCTTTCTGGTTTGATACTTGCTACCTGTAAAATAGCAGCTATTCGTCCTAGCTGAAATATGCTGATGAGATTTTAAAAGATTTTTTAAAAGAAACTCAAATGGTTAAAAGTCAGCTTAATTAAAAGCTAACATCTAAGATGTGTGTGTGTGTGTGTGAGTGAGTGCGTGTGTGTATTTAAAAGACCTTCATGGGCTGGGCACCGTGGCTCACGCCTGTAATCCCAGCACTTTGGGAGGCCGAGGTGGGTGGATCACAAGGTCAAAAGATAGAGCCCATCCTGGCCAACAAGGTGAAACCCTGTCTCCACTAAAAATACAAAAATTAGCTGGATGTGGTGGTGTGTGCCTGTAGTCCCAGCTACTCGGGCGGCTGAGGGAGGAGATTTGCTTGAACCTGGGAGGCGGAGGTTGCAGTGAGCCGAGATTGTGCCACTGCATTCCAGCCTGGCAACAGAGTGAGACTCTGTCTCAAAAAAAAAAAAAAAAAAAGGCTTTCATGGTTTTTCTTTTTTCTCTCCTAGGACCCTGTGTTTTATGAGTAAAAAACATTTTTTTCTTCTCAGTTGACTGAATGCTGTTTTCTTCATCCTACTGCTGTTTCTCCTGTCTCTTGCACCCTCTGCTGCGTGAGGGACATAAAATAGTTTATAATAGCCTGAGGTTCCTTAAAGAAAACAGAGAAGGCATCAGACTCCCTTTTGCAGAGAAAACTGTTTTCCTCATGCAACCCTAAGAGGGTAAACAGACAAGTTCATCTCAGCTCTTAAACTGCTTGTGTTTGTATTGTGTTATCTGAATTTTTTTTTAATAGTTATTGCAACAAAGGCTACTTTTGGGTTTTTAAGGAAGAATATATTTTAGACACTTCGAAATGCCTATGTTTAAAAAAATGTTTTTTAAGTGCACTCTAAAAGCATCCATGTGGTCTAGCCTCATAATTCTCCCTTTTTGGAGACCCAAATTTCAGTGTGGCCTCTTCCCAGAGCTCGGAGACCTAGTTAAAAGATAGGTAGTCCCTATCTAAATAAAACTGGTCTCCTGTGATCAATCACCTCCCACCAGGCCCCACCGCCAACACTCGGAATTACAATTCAACATGAGATTTGGGTGAGGACACAGATCCAAACCGTATCACAGGCCAAGGCTGACGCATGGTTGAAAAGGCTCAGAGGTGCCTGATCAAAGTTTGTCACAGTTTTGATTGATGTTACCAAATTACTCTCCACTGATGTATACAAGATGCCCAGGATTTCATTTTTACCAATCACATATGTTTTCAAATGTGTTCATCTTTGTCAACCAGATATGCAAAATTAAGGTGTCTCCTTATAAACTTTCTGACAGTAAATATCAAAAGTTCGGATGAATCTTCTTTTCTAAGACCATGTCCTAAGTAAGTGTGGATATGGATAATGGGCAAGGTTTTCATCACTATATTGTTTATAACAGTAAAAAACTGCAAGAAGCCTAAATATGCCTTAGGGGATTTGTTAAAAAAGTTATAGCACACACACAGGATGAAATCGGTTACAGCCATTAAAAGTCATGCATACATGCAGGACAGGTTCAGTGGTTCACATACATAATTCCAGCACTTTTGGGAGGCTGAGGCAGAAGGACTGCTTGAGCATAGGAGTTCAAGAGCAGCCCGAGCAACATAGCAAGACCCCATCTCTACAAATAAAAAAATTTTTTTAAATTATCTGGGCATGGTGACATTAACCTGTGATTCCAGCTACTCAGGAGGCTGAGGTGGGAGAATCAGTTGAGGCCAGGTCAAGGCTGCAGTGAGCTGTGATTGTACCACTGCACTCCAGCCTGGGCAATAGAGCACAACCCTGAAGTTAAAACACCTCTTAAAACAAAAGGTACTTGTAAAATATCAGCTATTCATCTTAGCTGAAATATGTTGATGAGATTTTAAAATATTTTTTAAAAGAAACTCAAATGGCTAAAAGTCAGCTTAATTAAAAGCTAATATCCAAGATGTGTGTGTGTGTGTGTGTGTGAGTGTGGATATGCTGATTCATATCCCAACATGACATGAATCATAAAAAAAAAATCAAGCATAAAATTTTATGAAATGCCTATTTTTGAGTTGACGGAGTCCCCTCATTTTGGTCCCATCTGAAATCTTATACAAATTACTGCTCCTAAATGTCTGTATTCAGTTTTAAAGTATTCAAGTAAGTGGCATGTGTGAAAAAGCATGAAGAAAAAAATGGAAACACCAACATTCCCTTTCCCCATTTATTCCCGTTTCTTGTAATAACTGCAGCCAGTTAGGTGAAGGCTAATAGACCTTTTGCTAAAATGTATCTAGTGTCACTGATAACGAGGTAACATCTCTGTTTCGTTTTTAAAACAGACTAAAACTGAGAACTTGTCCTTTAAATTTCTTCCATAGCTGGTTGCTCTAGACTGAATGTTTGTGCCACCATCTGTAATTCGTATGTTGAAACCCTAACCCCCTAGTGTGACAGCATTAGGAGGTGCAGCCTTTGGGAGGTGATTAGGTCATCAAGGTAGGGCCCTCAGCAATGGGATTAGTGCCCTTAAGAGACTGCAGAGAGATCTGCAGCAAATCCCCCCACACGAAGACACAGTGAGAAGACAAGTCCATAACCAGAGGCGGAGCTGCACCTTGATCTTGAACACGATGAGAAATAACTGCACTTCCGTCATAGCAGTTTGAAATGAGGCACCAGCCATGTTGATTAAATCTCATGTAAATACACAAGGTCCTGTGAGGAGCACGGAAAGACCACCCTACTGGCGGGCCGGCGGGTTCTTAATGAAAGGGAAGCGTCTGCGTGGGTCCCGTTTACGCGCTTGTCCTTCGCTGGCGCCGTCCCTGTGCCGGACTCGCCGCAGGCACGTTTCCTGTGCTCAGCTCGTCTCGGTTTTCAAACCCGCATTTTGTAAAAACGCGACAGGGCACCTGCCGTGGACCGAGCCCGCGTCCACACGGGTGGGAGCGGCGTTTATTAACGGCAGTGTCTGAACTCGGGGCACAGATGGGCTCGGGACGGGGGGACGTCACCGTACAGGTCTCTCCACTCTAAGTGTGAACGTCCCCGCAAAACACCCGGCGGCCGCCAGCGCCCCGCAGGGGAGACGCCGGGGAAACGTGCCGTTCCCGGACTTCCGGCCAAGTCCCAGCGGCCACCCGGGGCCCCACTGTGGAGCCGGGTGAGCGCGGCCGGGAATCCGGACACCCGCTGGGTCTGGGAGGAGGATGCGGAGGGACCCCCGGGACCGGAGCGTCAGGAGACGCCCCTTTGTCGGCAGAGGCGTCTGTGGAGCCTGTGGAGCGAAGGGAAGGGCGTCCTCAACCAGAATGGGAGCCACGGTGACCGAAGTTCAGCGCTTTAGACGAGGCGGCGGGTGCGGCAAGCGCTCCCCATCTCGGTAGCGCAGCCGGAAGTTTTCTGAAGAAACCCGCTGAGTCTCCATCAGCGCCATCAGGCCCGGGCGGAAGAAGCCGCCGCCACCCGCGCCACCGCCCTGCCCCGCCCCCCTGCGCAGAGTTCTGTGCCTCCCACCACTACCTCCGTCCTTCTCCGCCCTGTCCATGGCTGCTGCGGCGGGCTCGGCCTTCGACGCCAGGGACCTTCCGGCCATTTCCTCTCAACTCGTCAGCACCGCCGCCTTGGGAGCCACCTGATTGGAGCAAACCCTGCGGGGTGGGCGGGGAGGCGGGACTCCGGGCAGCGCGCCTGCGCAATGCAGTCCTGCGAGCCCTCGAGAGGTAACGGTCTGGCGCGCTTGCCCGGAAGCCAGTGCGCATGCGTAAAGGCGCAAGGGCAACTAACCGGGCGTGGAGCCGGCAAGGGCCACGTGCGTCCAGGCTTGCCATTGGCCCGGTGCCTGGTGCCCCCGCGCAGGTGTGCTGGTCTCCCTGGGGGCTGGCCCTGGTTCTGCAGCCCCGCTCACCGAGCAATGCGCATGTGCAGAGCCACCCATGCCTGTGGAGCATGTATGTTTCATGGACAACTCCACTTGGCACTGTGGCTTCTGCAGCCTCAGGAGGTCACGGCTATGCAGGTTAGGGTTAGGGAGTTAGGGGTAGGGGATTAGGGTTAGGAGGTTAAGGTTAGAGTTAGGGTTGGGGGTTAGGGTTTAGGATTAGCGTTAGGGTTTAGGGTTAGGAGTTAGGGGATTGGGCTGCTAGGGTTGGGGTCAGGGTCAAGGTTAGAGTTAGGGCTAGGTCTAGGGTTAGGGTTAGTGGCTAGGGTTAGTGTTTTAGGGTTAGGGTTAGAGGGTAGCATTTGAGGGTCAGGGTCAGGATGAGGGTCAGGGTGATGGTGAAGGTCAGGGTCAGGGTTTAGGGTTAGGGGTTAGGGCTACTGTCAGGGTCAGCAGTCATGGGTTGGTGGTTAGGATCCGGTTTAGGGGTTGGGGTTAGGGCTAGTTCTAGGGCTAAGGGTTAGGGCTAGTGGTTAGGGTTAGGGTTTTAGGGTTGGGGTTGAATTGGGGTTTAGGGTTAAGTTTTGGGTTCAGGGTTAGGGGTTTGGTGTTACGGTTGGTGCTGGAGTAGGGGTTAGTGTCAGGGTTAAGGGTTTATGTTTTAGGGTTCGGGTTAGGGTTAATGTTTAGTGTTTGGGGTTTCTGGTTAGGAGTTGTGGTTAGGGTTAGGGTCAAGGTCAGGGTTGTTCATTAGGATTAGGGTTTTAGGGTTAGGGTTACCGTTTTAGGGTTAGGGTTAGGGTTAGAGGTGGGGTTAGGGTTGGGGTGCGGGGTTATGTGTTTGGGTTGGTATTAGGGTTTAGATAGGGTTAAGGTTGGGTTAGTTTTAGGGTTAGGGTTAGGGTTAGAGGTTTATGGGTAGGGATTAAGGGCTGGGGTTAGGGTTAGTGGTTAGGGGTTGGGGTTAGGATTAGGGTTAGATGGCACTTAGAGTGGAAAATGTTTAACCCAAAGAGTTAGGGTTAGGGTTAAGGTTGGGGTTAGTCTTAGGGTTAGGGTTAGGGTTAGAGTCTTAGGGTTAGAGGTTTATGGGTAGGGATTAAGGGCTGGGGTTAGGGTTAGTGGTCAGGGGTTGGGGTTAGGGTTAGGGTTAGATGGCACTGACTTAGAGTAGAAAATGTTTAACCCCAAGAGATGCCTGCAGAGGCAACTGAGCCAAACCACTGACTTCTAGAAGGGCTTGTGTTAGGGTTAGGGTTAGGCTTAGATGGCACTGGCTTAGAGTGTAAAATGTTTAACCCTAAGAGATGCCTACAGAGGCAAGTGAACCACACCAGAGACTCCTAGAAGGGCTTGTGTTAGGGGTCCCAAGTTTCTAGGTAAGCAGAGGAGATGGAGAGGCAGACACAGAACGGTTGGTTCAAAGCATGTTGGGAAGTGTGATCGCATAACCCCCTCGTTCCACACTGGCCATCAAATACTCCTCCCTGTCATTAGGACAATAAACTATTTTCTTCCGACATCAGAACAGAACTTTTCTAAGCTCCAGGACACTGGGTAATGCTGCGTATGCAAACAGAGTATTTAGTGAAATCCAATTTACTGAGCAGGGAGATCTGCAGACTCATTCTCCCTTTGGCTTTCAGAACGCTGGGGTCAGGCTTGCAGTCTTAGGAGATTGGCAAACTCTTTTTGGAGAGGATCTGCAGATACCAACACTTTCAGGGTTTCCTCAGGTCCATGGGTGCCAGGCTCCTGTGCACTCTTCCTTTGTGGAAGCAAAGGAAGACTCCATCTGTGCATATAGATGCATTAATTATATTTTTTTATATTCTGTTTTACTGATGCTCTAGCATCTGGGGTTTACTGGGAAAAGCTTGCCTTTCCCATGGCCAGCCCATTAAACTACCAATCTAGGACCCGTACTCCAAACCACTTACCTTATCTGCTCTGATACTGTAGGAGACAATACCACCCTTCCCTAATCACCCCAGGTCCAGGTACTAGACAACTAGAGATGGCCCCTATGCCCCAGAGCCTGCTGAAGTTATTCACACTGGCCAGCCTAAGCTTGCCTGCCCTGCTGGGCCTTGTTGTCCCTCAGAGACCACAGCAGAGGCTCCTGCCTGTGCCTTCCCCTCTCTCCTTTTGCTTCTGCCCAGGCTTCCTTGTGCCTCCTATTTCTAGGGGTCAGTGAGTATGAACATATTTTGATGGGGCAGTCACTTTCATGTCTGCAGACCTTAACATTGCTGATTAAAACAAATTCTGAATACATTTTAAAACATAAGGCTTCCAATGGAATTTTTAAAACCTTATATGGAGAATTTTAAACATATATCTAAATAAACAATGAATATAACAAACCCCTATATATCTATAACCCTTCCGAACAACCAGAAACACGTGGCCAGTTCTGTTCCCTCTATATTCCCAAATAAAATTCATATGTTGTGATCAGATGAGGTGTTTTTAAGTCTATATTAGGTATACATTTCCCCTATATCCCCTGTATATCATTTTCTTGTAATTTATTTGTTGAAGAAGCTGCATTGATTTTCCTGATTGATATTGAGAAAAAATAAAAGCAGAAGTAATAAAACTGTCAGAAAAGAAATCAGTGGGATTTAAATCGTACAGCTGCTTTGGAAAACAGCCTGGAAGTTCTTCAAAAAGTAACACATAGAATTACTCTTTGACCTATCAATTCTACTGAAGTCTTCATACTGAAGAGAATTAGAAACATGTCCACACAAAAACTTGTACGCAGATTTCCATAGCAGCATTATCCATAATAGCCAAAAAGTAGAAACAACCCAAATGTCCACCAACTGATGAGTGCATAAATAATATGAAGTATATGCACGCAATGGAATACTATGCAGCCTCAAAAAGGAATTGTGGCCAGAGGCTGGAGGAAGGAAAAATGGGAAATACAGTGTTTCTTTCTGGGGTGCTGAAAATGTTTTAGAATTATCAAATAGTGGTGAAGTCTGTGCTACTTCCAGAAAGTGCTAAATTGTACACTTTAAATGAGTAAAATGTAGTATTTGAATTATATCTCATTTTAAAAATCGAAAACATTTTCCAGAAATAAAGTTTATGAATTTTGAGATTTAAAAGATCTATTGAGTTCCCCTCAAAATGAATTTCAAAGTTCTACACTAAAGCACATTATTGTGACATTTGAGAACATCAGAGCTAAAGATCTGAAAAGCTTCCCGAGAGGTGAAAGAAAAAGATCACCTGGCATTGCTGGCAAGATGGCCGAATAGGAAGAGCTGTGGTCTGCAGTGCCAAGAGAGATACATGCAGAAGGTGGGTGAGTTCTGCATTTCCAATGAGGTACCTGGTTTATCTCATTGGGAGTGGTTGGACAGTGGGTGCAGCTCACGGAGGGTGAGCTGAAGCAGGGTGGGGTGTCAACTCACCAGGGAATTCATTCCCCTAGTCAAGAGAAGCTGTGAGAGACTATACCAGGAAGAATGGCATAGCCCAGGTACTGCACTTTTCCCAATGGTCTTCATAACTGGCAGACCAGGAGATTCCCTCCAGTGCGTGTGCCACCAGGGCCCTGGGTCTTAAGCACAAAACTGGGTGGCCATTTGGGCAGACACCAAGCTAGTGGCAGGAGATTTTTTTCATACCCCAGTGGCACCTGGAATGCCAGCGAGATAGAACTCTTCACTCTCCTGGAAAAGGGGCTGAAGCCAGGGAGCCAAGTGGTCTGGCTTGGCTTGGCAGGTCCCACCCTCACAGAGCCCAGCAAGCTAAGATCCACTGGCTTGAAATTCTCACTAGCAGCAGAGCAGTCTGAGGTTGACCTGGGACACTGAGTTTGTTGAGCGAGGGGCATTTGTCACGGCTGAGGCTTAAGTAGGTAGTTTTACCCTCACAGTATAAACTAAGCTGCCTGGGAAGTTTAAACAGGGTGGAGTCCACCTCAGCTCAGCAAGGCCACTACTGCCATACTCCCTCTCTAGATTCCTCTTACCTGGGCCAGGCATCTCTGAAAAAATGGCAGCAGCCCCAGTCAGGGACTGATAGATTAAAAACCCCCATTTACCTGGACAGAGCACCTGGGGGAAGGGGTGGCTGTGGGTGCAGCTTTCACAGACTTAAACGTCCCTGTCTGTTAGCTCTGAAGGGAGCAGTGGATCTCTCAGCACAGCATTCAAGCTCTATTAAGGGACAGACTGCCTCTTCAAGTGGGTCCCTCACCCCCATGTAGCCTGACTGGGAGACACCTCCCAGTAGGGGCCAACATACACCTCATACAGAAGAGCTCTGGCTGGCATCTGGAGGGTGCCCCTCTGGGACAAAGCTTCCAGAGGAAGGAACAGGGAGCAATCCTTGCTGTTCTGCAGCCTCTGCTGCTGATACCCAGGCAAACAGGGTCTGGAGTAGACAGGGTCTGGAGTAGACCTCCTGCAGTAGAAGGGCTTGACTGTTAGAAGGAAAACTAACAAAGAGAAAGGAATAACATAAACATTAACAAAAAGGGCATCCTTTCATACCCCATCCTAAGGTCACCAACATCAAAGACAAAAGGTAGATAAATCCACGAAGATAGGGAGAAACCAGCACATAAAGGCTGAAAATTCCAAAAACCAGATTGTCTCTTCTACAAAGGAACACAACTTGCTGGCAAGGAAACAAAACTGGACGGAGAATGAATGTGATACATTGACAGAAGTAGGTAGGCTTCAGAAGGTGGGTAATGGCAAACTCCTTTGAGCTGAAAAAGCATGTTCTAACCCAATGCAAGAAAGCTCAGAATCTTGAAAAAATGTTAACTGAATTTCTAACTAGAATAGCCAGTTTAGAGAAGAACATAAATGACTTGATGGAGCTGAAAAACAGCACAAGAACTTCATGAAGCATACACAAGTATCAATAGCAGAATCGATGAAGCAGAAGAAAGGATATCAGAGATTGAAGATCAACTCAATGAAATAAAGTGAGAAGAAAAGATTACAGAAAAAAAAGAGTGAAAAGAAATGAACAAAGCCTCCAAGAAGTATGGGACTATGTGAAAAGACCAAATATTTGTTTGATTGGTGTACCTGAAAGTGGTGAGAAGAATGGAACCAAGTTGGAAAACACTCTTCAGGATATTATCCAAGAGAACTTCCCAAACCTAGTAAGGCAGGCCAACATTCAAATTCAGGAAAGACAAGGCATATGACAAAGATACTCCTCAAGAAGAGCAACCCCAAGACAAGTAATTGTCAGATTCACCAAGGTTGAAATGAATGGGCTTCCCACAAAGGGAAGCCCTCAGACTAACAGCAGATCTCTCAGCAGAAACCCTACAAACTAGAAGAGAGTGGGGGCCAATATTCAACATTCCTAAAAGAATTTTCAACCTAGAATTTCATATGCAGTCAAACTAAGCTTCATAAGCAAAGGAGAAGTAAAATCCTGTACAGACAAGCAAATGGTGAGACTTTGTCACCACCAGACCTGCCTTATAAGAGCTCCTGCAGGAAGCATTAAACACGGAAGGAAACAACCAGCACCAGCCACTGCAATAACAATAGCAAATTGTAAAGACATTCGCTACTATGAAGCAACTGCAAAGAACAGGCAAAATAACCAGCTAGCATCATGACAGGATCAAATTTGCAAATAACGATATTAACCTTAAATGTACACAGGCTGAATTCCCCAATTAAAAGACATAGACCAGCAAATTGGATAAAGAATTAAGACCCATTGGTGTACTGTATTCGGGAGACCCATCTCATGTGCAAAGACACATAGGTTCAAAATAAAGGGATGGAAGAAGATTTACCAAGCAAATGGAAAGCAGAAAAAAAGTGAGGACTGCAATCCTAATCTCTGATAAAACAGACTTTAAACCAACAAAGATCAAAAGAGACAAGGGTATTACATAATGGCAAAGGGATCAATGCAACAAGAAGAGCTAACTATACTAAATATATATGCACCCAATACAGGAGCACCCATATTAATAAAAGAAGTTTTAGAGATCTAAAAAGAGACTCAGACTCCCACACAATAGTAGTGGGAGACTTTACACCCCACTGTCAATATTAGACAGATCCATGAGATAGAAAATTAACAAGGATATCCAGGACTTGAACTCAGCTCTGGACCAAGCAGTCCTGATAGATATCTACAGAACTCTCCACCCAAATCGACAGAATATGTGTCCTTCTCAGCACCACATCACACTCATTCTAAAATTGACCATATAATTGGAAGTAAAACACTCTTCAGCAAATGCAAAATAATGGAAATCATTACAAACAGTCTCTCAGACCACAGTGTAATCAAATTTAGAACTCAGGATTAAGAACCTCACTGAAAACCGCACAACTACATGGAAACTGAGCAACCTGCTCCTGAATGACTACTGGGTAAATAACAAAATGAGGCAAAAATAAAGAAGTTACATAAAACCAATGAGAACAAAGACACAATATACCAGAATCTCTGGGATTTTAAAGCAGTGTGTAGAGGGAAATTATAGCACTAAATGCCCACAAGAGAAAGCAAGAAAGATCTGAAAGTAACATGCTAACATTACAATTAAAAGAACTAGAGAAGGAAGGGCAAACAAATTCAAAAGGTAGCAGAAGACAAGAAATAATGAAGATCAGAGAGAAGTGATGGAGGTAGAGACATGAAAAGCTCTTCAAAAAAATTAATGAATCCAGGAGCTGGTTTTTTGAAAAGATCAACAAATAGATGGACCACTAGCCAGCCTAATAAAGAAGAGAGAAGAATCAAATAGATACAATAAAAAATGATAAGGGGATATCGCCACCAATCCCACAGAAATACTAACTACCATCAGAGAATACTATAAACCCCTCTATGCAAATAAACTAGATAATCTAGAAGAAATGGACAAATTCCTGGACACATACACCCTCCCAAGACCGAACCAGGAAGAAGTCAAATCCCTGAATAGACCAATAACGTGTTCTGAAATTGAGGCAGCAATTAATAGCCTACAGACAACAAAACAAAAGTCCAGAACCAGATGGATTCGCAGCCGAATTCTACCAGAGGTGCAAAGAGGAGCTGGCACCATTTCTCCTGAAATGATTCCAACAACGGATAAAGAGAGAATCTTTCCTATCTCATTTTATGAGGCCAGCATCATCCTAATACCAAAACCTGGCAGAGACAAAATAAAAAAAGAATATTTTAGGCCAATATCCCTGATGAACATCAATGCAAAAATCCTCTATAAAATACTGTCAAACCGAATTCAGCAGCACATCAAAAAGCTCATCCACCACGATCAAGTCTGCTTCATCCCAGGATGCAAGGCTGGCTCAACATCAGCAAATGTAATCCATCACATAAACAGAACCAATGATAAAATTCACACGATTATCTCAACAGATGCAGAAAAGGCCTTTGACAAAATTCAACAGAACTTCATGCTAAAAACTGTAAATAAAATAGGTATTGATGGAACGTCTCTTAACATAATAAGAGCTATTTATGACAAACCCACAGCCAATATCATACTGAATGGCAAAAGCTGGAAGCATTCCCTTTGAAAACTGGCACAAGACAAGGATGCCCTCTCTCCCCACTCCCATTCAACATAGTATTGGAAGTTCTAGCCAGGAAGAGAAAGAAAGGATATTCAACTAGGAAGGGAAGAAGTCAAATTGTTTCTGTTTGCAGATTTCATGACTGTATATTTAGAAAACTTTGCTGTTCAGCCCCAAATCTCCTTAAGCTGATAAACAACTTTAGCAAAGTCTTAGGATACAAAATCGAGTGAATTCGTCCAACCACGTGGAAGACACTGTGATGATTCCTCAAGGATCTAGAAATAGAAATACCATTTGACCCACCAATCTCATTACTGGATATATATCCAAAGGATTATAAATCATTCTACTATAAAGACACATGCATACGTATGTATATTGCAGCACTGTTCACAATAACAAAGACTTGGAGCCAACCCAAACGGCCATGAATGATAGACTGGATCAAGAAAATGTAGCACATATACACCATGGAATTGTATGCAGCCATAAAAAAGGACCAGTTCATGTCCTTTGCAGGGACATGGCTAAAGCTGGAAACCATCATTCTTAGCAAACACAAGAATAGAAAACCAAGCACCACATGTTCTCACTCATTAGTGGGAGTTGAACAATGAGAACACATGGATACAAGGAGGGGAACATCACACACCAGGGCCTGTTGGTGGCGGGGGATAGGGGAGGGATAGCATTAGGAGAAATACCTAATGTAGATCACAGGTTGATGGGTGCAGCAAACCACCATGGCACGGATATACCTGTGTAACAAACCTGCACATTCTGCACTTATACCCCCGAACTTATAATAATAATAATTAAAAAAATCACCTACAAAGAATCAAGAACCAAAATGGTACTGAAGTTTTTCGTTGAAATTCTAGATATAATAGGAAAACGAAATTTAGCCTTCACATTCTGAGATATAGATATATTAAACCCAACTAAACCATCAACCCAGTGTGAGAATAGAGCACAGGCATTTTGGGACACAGACAGCATCAAAACTTTACCTTTTCTCAGGAAGCTACAGTGAAGTGGCAACCTGAGGAATGGGAGAAATGAACTCCAGGAACAGGTGATCCATGCAGGAGAGAGGTGCAGCACTGCTGAGAGCCAGGGGTGAGGCAATTCAAGCTGGAGACACCGAGGCAAATACAGGAGGGCCTGGCACTCTATGAAAGGCAGTACGGTGGTTCTCACAACTCAGTAAATGTGGTGATTACCTCTCATCTGGTTACAATGCATCTTCCCAGCCTGCCAGCAGGGATTCTAAATCCTGATGTAAATGACATGGCAACACTTGTGGTTATAGACTTAAGTGTTTGAATCAGATCCAGGTCCAAACCCAAATCCCCTCAGTAATTAACTGCGCTGTCATTTAATTACTTAATCACTCCAGCACCCCACTTCCTCAGGCCAATTCATATGGGAATATAAATTCACAGGAGTGTTATAAAGGGTAGTTTGTACAATGAGCTCATGACTCTGAAATGCTTAGCATGGCATCCAAAAAGTCCTCAGTAAGTGTGCAACAACACCTGTTTATTACGGAAAACACACCCAACCTAGAAACGGTGTTCCCAGGGGATTAAAAGAAGCAAGTACAGTCGGGTGAGCAGAGGGAGCCAGCGTGGGGAGGGCCTTCCTAGGTGAGGGAGCCACTACATTTGAAAGTGGGATGCAGGGCCAGGGCTGAACCTATTGAATAAATGGTGCTGAGATAACTGGCTAGCCATGTGCTGAAGATTGAGGCTGGACCCCTTTCTTACACAACACACAAATATCAACTCAGGATGATTTAAAGACTTAAGTGTAAAATCCCAAAATATAATAACCCTGGAAGACAGCCCAGGCAATACCATCCTGGCTATAGCAGGCAAAGATTTTGTGACAAAGATAACAAAAGCAATTATAATAAAATCAAAAATTGACAGGTGGTATCTAATTAAACTAATGAGCTTCTGCACAGCAAAAGAAACTATCAAGAAAGTAAACAGCTTATAGAATGGGAGAAAATATGTACAAACTCTGCATCTGACAAAGGTCTAATGTCCAGTATCTATAAGGAACTTAAATTTACAAGAGAAAAATAACCCCATTAAAAAATGGCTCCAGGTCATGAAGAGACACTTCTCAAAAGAAGACAAACATGTCGCAAACAAGCATATGAAAAAAGCTCTGTCTCACTGATCACTAGAGAAATGCTAATCAAAACCACAGTGAGATACCATCTCACACCAATCAGAATGGCTATTATAAAAAGTAAAAAAAAAAAAAAAGATGCTGGCAACGTTATGGAGAAAAGTGAACAATTATACACTGTTGGTGGGAGTGTAAGTTAGTTCAACCGTGGTGGAAAGCAGAACTACCATTTGACCTAGCAATTTCATTATTGGGTGTATACCCAGATGAATGTAAATCATTCTACCATGAAGATACGTGCCTGTAAATATTTACTGCAGCACTATTCCCAATAGCAAAGACATAGAAACAACCCAGATGCCCATTAATCACAATGAAAATGTGGTACATACATGCCATAGAATATTAGGCATCCATAAAAAAGAACGAGATTATGTCTTTTGCATTAATGTGGATGAAGCTGAAGGGTATTATATTTAGCAAACTAGTGCAGAAACAGAAAACCAAATACCACATGTTCTCATGTATAAGTGGGAGCTAAATGATAAGAACCTGTGAACACAAAGAAGGAAACAGCAGACACTGGGGTCTACTTCAGGTGGGAGGTAGGAGGAGGGAGAGGAGCAGAAAAGATAACTATTGGGTACTGGAATCAATATCTGGATGATGAAATAATATGTACAACAAACCCCTGTGACACGTGTTTACCTATATAGCAAACCCTCCCATGTACCCCCAACCTAAAATAAAAGTGTAAAAAAAACACAACTTTTAATTTTTTTCCCTTAAATACCATAAAGGTCATGAGCCATTTGCCACCTGAACAGTCAGTAACACATGGCTGGAAAGAAACCGAACACCCAGGGACGCCAGAGACCGCTCACTGCAGAGGAAGGAGGCGGGGATATCCATGAGGTGAACTTTCTCCAGTCCCGAAGTGGCTCCCTCTCCTCTTAACTGCAGGTCCCATGGAATTCAGACTAGGAAGTAAAGCCAGTGGGAATGGCCCACAGGGGAGCAGTTCAAATGTGCTGAAAAGGATAGAGGAGCCCCAGTGAGTAGGAAGGCTGGACCAGAGATGGATTTGCAGGGTGACAGTGTGCAGCCATCAGAGCTCTGATTCCGTCACTTTCACTACCCTCCTCTGCCCCCTAACATCCAAAAAGTATCGATGGCAAGTGTTGGGCCGTAAGACATTTCCCTGCTTTATAATCTGGATTTGGGGGGTTAAATTTCAGAGATAATGAAAACATTCCCCCTTTAATTAACTTTAAATTTTATAATTATATCTCTTCTTTCTCCCCCCCCCCCTTTTTTAAAAACAGATTTCTGAACATGTAAAAACAAAGAAAACAGCATGGGAGTAATTTATAATCAACACGTATGTGTTCACAGAGTGACACTCACATGGCCTATGGCACACGAGCACCCCGAGAGTAGGACTGTGGGGCGTCTGATGGTGATTGTCCTTCGAGCTGGTAGGGCCCAGCCTCCCGCTGTCTGTGCACCGCTGCGTGTGCAATTGGTGTCTCCTGTAACTTCACAGCGATGCGCAATCACACAGCATTGCCTTCTCTTTCTGTGTAGAAAACTAAGGCTGGGAGAGTGTGCAGAGCTGGATGGCGGACTTGGGTTTGGCTCCTTCTAGTTTCAAAACCCGTGAGTATTTTCCTGTCTCTAATGCTAATCTTAGCACTATATTTGGAATAAGCATATAAACATATAACCAGAAACCACTCAGGTAATATGCAATTAAATTATAAATAAATGCTCAAGATGATGAGTGATTGAATGAGCTGTGTCTAAGAATAATAACTGGTTGAAGCGTCATTCACAGGATAAAGTAGAAATCAGTTAAATGGCTAACAGTATAGGGAGGGTTAAATCAGCATCCAGGTGTGGAAATACCTGATTTATGTATGTAGTTTGTTCCATGTAAAACATTTATAATCTAGTACTGGATGAGAAAAAATAGACTACATTTTATGTATAGTATAATCTAAAATTTCTATGTTTAGTTAAAAATGCAGGAATATAATTATCAAAATTTTAGTATAAAATTATGAATAATTTTTCTTTAATAACTCATTTTATATTTACCAAAGACCCTCCAAGGAGAATATACACTTTTATAGTTAGAAAAAATGATTTGTTAAAGAGATCATAAATGACATGATACTTTATAGAAGTTAGAAGCTGAGATTGTGAGAATTTCCAGGGACTCCTGCCACCAGCTCATCTTGCGTCATCGTTTACCTGGAAATGTTGGAACTGAGGTCGCCTGATGCCTGTCAATTCCCAGCAGCTTTTTCTCTGGCTCTCAGCCAGCCTGTTAAACAAAATCAGTGAGACAATTAGAAACACCCTGGTGTTCTGAGAAGTCACACACAATCGCTTGCTTACCAAGTGTCTACCTCAGAAGTTTCTTTGCCTCATAGAGTGAGTGTAATCATCTGTTTTAAATTCGGCTTTTGCCGTTTCACAGCCTGAGGCGCAGGACTCTGCATAGGGCATAGATGGATTTCCACGGTCAGCACGAGGATGGGAGGAGAACGGGGCAGATCCAGCCCCACTCAGGGAGACCTGGCTGGAGTTACTGGGCTGGGCCTCACTCCAGAGAGCGGAGACCTTCCCTGGACCCGCTACCGAGACAGCCCCCAGTTGGAAAATGTTTTCTTCTAAGGTGAGATGCGGCCCCCACTGGAGAGGAAAACAGAGAGTGTTAAAAAGGAAAAACCGAGGGAAGCTGAGGAGTCCCCCCTCTTGACAGGGGACACAGCAGAGCGCGCCCAGCTGGGGTGAATCCCCGCAGCTCCCAGCTGGACGGCGGGTGGGATCCCTGTCACCGGCCCGCCGCGTGGGAACAGCGCGAGCGTCTGCGGTCACATCGTCCCTCCTCCGGCAGCGGCCTCCGTCCGGAAATCGTCTCGGGTCTGTCCTCCCGGGAACCCGATGCCAGAGCTGCGCGCTGCGAGGATTTGGACGCCGGTGCTTCGTGGAGCTGAGCGTTTCCCACGTTCTGTGAGCCTGACGGAGCTCTTTCTCACGGACCTTTTTTCTAGGGGTGGGAGCGCGTGGCCTGCAGACTGCGGCTCCCAGCACGTGGGTGCGAACTGCAGCCTTTGGCAGTGTCAGGGGTTAAAGGTCGTTTTTAAATCTGTTTATTACCCTCAGCCAATTAACTTCTATCTGCAGTAGAAGATATTTTGCCATTTTTTTTTAAATGGAGAAATACCATGCTCTTAAAAAAGTCTTTTAGAGGCATGAAAAGTCAATTTCATTACATTAAAATCACTAAAAGAGGAAAAAAAGTGAAATTCACGTATCAAAAATTATCTTTTGGCAAAATACTCTATTTTGGCTTGAAATATTTGTGTCGACATAGATAGGGAGTTTATTCATTCAATTAACTTAAAAAACTAGATTTTATTGCTAGACACTCCAGACATAACCCTTGAAGTCTGACAAACTATAAACCCAGCTCCTTATCTGCCAGAGCGCACAGGTGCACCCAGCCTTCCCGGCACACAGGTTCTATTAATCTGTTCTCATGCTGCTAGTAAAGACATCTGAGGCTGGGTAATTAATAAGAGGTTCAATTGACTCACAGTTCCACGTGGCTGGGGAGGCCTCACAATCATGGCGGCAGGCAAATGAGGAGCAAAAGTTACATCTCTTACATGGCAGCAGGTAGAGGAGCTTGTGTAGGAAAAATCCCCCTTATAAAGGGGAGTAATCCCAGCACTTCGGGAGGCCAAGGCAGCAGGTGGATCACCTGAAGTTGGGAGTTCGAGACCAGCCTGGCCAATATGGTGAAATCATGTCTCTACTAAAAATACAAAAATTAGCCAGGCATGATGGTGGGTACCTATAATCCCAGCTACTCAAGAGGCTGAGACAGGAGAATCGCTTGAGATAGATGCCGCAGTGAGCCGACATCCTGCCACTGCTCTCCAGCCTGGGCAACAGAGCAAGACTATGCCTCAAAAAGTAAATAAATAAAAATAAAATAAAATCATCAGATCTCATGAGGCTTATTCACTGTCACAAGAAGAGCATGGGAAAGACCAGCCCCACCCCCTGATTCAGTTACCTCCAACTGGGTTCCTCCCAAGACACATGGGAATTATGAGAGCTACAATTTAAGATTTGACTGTAGACACAGCCAAACCATGTCACAAGTTATGAAACAAATTTATTCTAGCAGGCGAGACTTGAGCTCCTTGACCATCCCAAGCAAGAGGGGTTAACAGATGCAAGTTGTTTTATGCATCAGGAAAACAGGAGGGCTAGATATGCTCTTATCAGTCAGCGCAAGTTAATCAAGTTACAAGCCTTGCTGGCCTCTACCTCAGCTCAAAAAGCTGAGTTGGAACTTACCAGAGCCCTGCGGTCGGGAAAGGATTTAAAAGTTAACATTTACACTGATTCTAAGTATGATTTTTGTGGTGCTTCATGCTTATGCTGCAATTTGGAATGGGTGGGGACTCCTGACCACAGAGGGCTTTTCCATACAACATCACTCAGATTTTGAGCTTGTTAGAATGCTGCTTGGCTGCCAAAGAAAAGTGACTATAATTCATTGCAGAGGACACCAAAAGAGAGATTGACCGTGTAAAAGAAAATGCCCTTGCAGATGTGGCAGCCAGGGTCACTGCACTGAAGCTGATGGGCATGCTGGTCAGCATACCTAGAGCCGGGCCAGAACACTCCGAAGAAGAACAAAAATGCGCCAGGGATTGCAGTTTAGTCCAGAACCCCTCCTGCTGGCTGACTCATGGTAATACATTACTAATGCCAAATACTCATCATAGGAAAATAATTAAGCACTTACATGATTCTTTTCACCCTAGAAGAGATTCTTTGTTTCAGTTCATGTCTCATCAGATTATGGCAATAAATCTTTTCAAGACACTAAAACAGGTGACTCTGCCCTGAGCTCTGTGCCTGAAATAACCCAAACAGCCAGTAATTTTCTCTCCTCTAGTTTAACCTGTCCAACATTGAGACACCTCTCCAGCTGAGGACTGAAAACTCTAATTTACTCGGGCACCTTTCTGCAGGAAACTCAAATGTTTGCTAATGCTTACTGATACCTTCACTGGCTAGATCAAGGCGTTCCCCATGCTATCTGAAAAGTGTTTACCAGAAGATATAATTCCTCGGTTTGGATCATCTAAAAGCCTGCAAAGTGACAATAGCTCATCTTTCACAGCAGCCTTATCCCAACACCTATCCTCAGCTTTAGGAATCAAGTATCACCTTCATTCTGTGTGGAGATGGCAGTCCTCTCGAAAGGTGAAAGAACTCATCAAATTCTAAAGAAGACTAGCGAAATCAGAAGCCTGACTAGCTCTAACACCCATAGCTTACTATGGGTTTGAGTTGCTCCAAAGGAAAACTTATAATTAGGTCCTGTGGAGTTGGCATACAGAAAGCCTTTCCTAACCACAGATCTCCTGAGATGAAAGGACTTGTCAATTACAGAAGTATGTTATCAATCTAGGACACGTGCAAAGGCACTCTGTGAATATGGAAACAAAAGGCTTTCCCTCCCACGTGGGAGGAAAATTCAGTTTCAGCTCAGCTAGGGATTTAGTCTCACTAAAGACATGGGAGGAAGTTCTCCAGTTGACAAGCTTTCCCCAACGTGGAAAGGACCACAGAAAGGCCACCTGAGCTCCCCAATAGACGTTAAACTCCAAGGGATTCACAGGTGGGCACACCTGTATAAAAGTAAAGCTGTTTTTTTATTCTGGGAGCCCGATCCAAGGCTGGGGGAGGTGGGCACGGGGCTATTTAAGCGTTGGCGGAGTGCGGGCTGAGTCACTTTTCCTGTGATTGCTTCTCCTTCTTGTGTTTTTTCTGCTGCTCTAGTCCCGCCTTGGCCATGAGGGAGATTGTGCTCACCCAAACTGGACAGTGTGGGAACCAGATAGGTGCAAATGTTGGCAGCCAGGGCTCTGAGGGCCCAGCTCAGGCCTGCAGGGTGGCTGGTGAAGATGTTGGTAGTGGAAGGGGTGGCGCCTCTGCATTGTGGTCCCTGGGCTCCCTGCCCAGGATGTGGTGGAGTTGGGTGGCTGGCAAGGCTGCTGAGGAGAACCTCAAGGGACCCAGTGATGTGAGGGTGGGGGTGGAAGTGGGAGAGGGGCTGGGGCAACTCCAGCTCCCTGAGCTCCATGACTCAGCCCTGGCCTGTCTGGCCTCTTGCATCTCTTGCAGGTCTGGGAGGTGATCTCTGATGAACATGGCATCGACCCTGCTGGCACCTACCATGGGGACAGTGACCTGCAACTGGAATGCATCAATGTGTACTACAATGAGGCTAGTGGTGAGACCCCAGTCTTTCCCCGACCACCCTCCTGGGAATGGCAGCCTTCTCCTCACTGATGCCCTCCCATTCTGTTCAGGTGGCAGGTACATAGCCTGCGCTGTGCTCGTGGATCCGGAGCCGGACACCATGGACTCTGCGCTCAGGGCCCTTCGGGCAGATCTTCAGGCCAGACAACTTCATCTTTGGTGAGCTGTGGATGAGGACTGGGGTGTGGCTCCTTAGCCAGGGCAGCTCAAAGTCAGTGAGTGCCCCAAGGTCATCTCTGTGGGAACTGTGGAACCGGGGTCCCTGAACACCCTCCCATCCTCTGAGTTACTCAATCTCCCTCTCCTAAACGGGCTTTGGGAGGAAGGCCCAGCTGTCTTCTCAAGGTGAGGAGTTGCTGATGTAATCTCCCTCAGGGAGCTGAGCTGGGGCGGTGACCACGGCCTTCCCTGGGAATGGGCAGGAGCCACCTGCAGCGAGTCTGTTGTTAGGTGGTCTCAGGTTTGGCCCCTGATCTAGGTTCTAACAGGCAAGGCTGCTGTCCTGTAACTTCAGGGGAGAGGGTTTCCTTTGCTCCACCTGCAGGGTGAATGGTGCTTTTTGCATTGTGGTGGTGACCACTGATGACCATATACCTGGCCATCAAGTGACTGACTGTACTACCTTACAGGTCAGTGTGGGGCCGGGAACAACTGGGCCAAGGGGTACTACACGGAAGGTGCGGAGCTGATGGAGTCGGTGATGGATGTTGTGAGAAAAGAAGCTGAGAGCTGTGATTGCTGCAGGGTTTCCAGCTGACCCACTCCCTGGGTGGGGGGACTGGGTCTGGGATGGGTATCCTTCTCATGGGCAAAATTCACGAGGAGTATTCAGACAGGATCATAAACACATTCAGTGTCCTGCCCTCGCCCAAGGTGTCAGACACCGTGGTGGAGCCGTATAATGCCACCCTCTCCGTTCACCAGCTGATAGAAAATGCAGATGAGACGTTCTGCATCGATAATGAAGCGCTCTATAACATCTGTTCCAGGACCTTAAAACTGACCACACCCACCTACGGTGACCTGAATCACCTGGTGTCTGCTACCATGAGTGGGGTCACCATGTGCCTGCACTTCCCAGGTCAGCTGAATGCCGACCTGCGGAAGCTGGCCGTGAACATGGTTCCATTTCCCCGGCTGCACTTCTTCATGCCCGGCTTTGCCCCGCTGACCAGTCGGGGCAGCCAG